TCAAAATGGTACCTCGAAGGCTATCCCAAAGCAAACAAGAGCGGCTCATTTTTTCCCTCATTTTTCTTACTCCAAGAACAGCTGAGCTCACTGGGATGCACTAAATTACACGCCAGGCTTTCCATGCGTGAGTGGAACGGGACGCAACCGAGAGCGAACCGAGGATTTATTGTAGATAAAAATGTGTATATGTAAGCGTAATGGCTTTGTGCACAGGTAATTGAGCGTAATTGTCAAATAAGGGTGAAGGTTCACAGGACAGGTGGACTCACGGGCAACGTGAGCAACACACACGAGCACGAGCACTGACCAAACCTGTGCATGTGCGGAGGACAGAGAGGATGTGGGATTAAAGCATCCACCCCAGGCTCTCACCCACTGAGCGCGTCCCCGTGGATTCAGTTCATACTGATATGGTCTTCACTCTCTCATAGCGGCAGTGTCCGTGTCAATATTTGCCACCGCACACACTCTGCTGGGAAGTCATGCCTGAAATATGTTTCAAGGAAACAGTCATCCAGTGAAAAGAAAAAAAAGAACAAAAAACAGAAACATCATGTTCCTAATTTTCCTTCTGATGTATAATGTTTCACTTGATGCTTTGCATCCTTTCGACACTGAAGCCGGTTCATTCAAATCTTCTCTGTCGGCCCATGAAGGCTTTGACTGTGAGAGTTATCTATTGACCGATCCTGTTATCATCAGGTTTCTAAAGCCCCCAGAAAGATTCTATCAACAACAAACTGCGTGTCAATTACAAAAAAAGGGGAAAAATGTATGCCCATATCACTTGCATACTCGAAACAAAGAGGAAATATCTGCTTTGGCAGCAGCAGGCTGAGGTTACTTTTACCAAGATGATAATTCCTCTTTTTGTCACTAACCAAAATGCAACAAGTATAGAGGGATGTGGGTGAGGGGACTCTGCACTCTGAGAATCAGGCTAATGAGTTGGCGCAGGTACAGGCGGCTCAGAATAAGCCTGAAGGCAACAGCTCTCTGTTAAACGTCTGCAGGGAGTGGCTAATAAGGACAGCGCAGTGGACAGGCTTGGGACGGGGAATTGACTTGTTTCTGAGACCGGGGCTGTCCTTCAAAATCTCTTTTTTTTTTTCCCGTGACAGAAAAAGCTGTTTCAAAGCGAGGCAAAAAAAAACCCAAGCACAGCCTCTCGGCCGGACTTTATTTTCCCCCTGCAGGTTTCATTTACAGACGCCCGTAGCAGAGAACTGTTGGAGGCTGGCTGCTGTCCAGCACTGGGTCAGTGTCCTGCCTTGGCCTTAAAATTCATGCATGATGCATGAGATGCAGAGTAAAATCACATTAACATTTTGATGAAATAAACAGTCCAATAACACAACAATCCCAGCAGCTACTTTCACAGCACGTTCTGCAGCTTTTTTCATGGATGCTGCCTGATTTAGGACAAATCTATCCCTGGGAAACAGGAAGAAACGGCAGATGATGAGGATTCACTGGATCTTACTGTCGGATTTGGGTCTGAAATGGGTGTATAGGGATTACACATTGTGGACACCAAGTAAAAAAGTTGCACATGGGTGGATAACCAAAGAAGATTTTGGCGAGCTTAATGCAGTTTTGGCAAATTTTCCTCATAAAAATAAGCCACGTCAGATGAGAGCAACAAAAGTTATTTGTTATCACTACTTTCTTCTGAATTTCATCCTTCAGCTTGGATGATTTTTACGAAAACAGGAATGAGCTTTTGCTCCTCGCAGCTGTTTAGTCATCATTTAAATCTAATAACCTTACAGACCTGAGAAATAATCTCAAATTTCAACTGAGATCAGCGACGGTGGCGTGACGGTCCACCGTCGCCGCCATTGGTCCGGCGTTAAAATGTCGTGCTGGCGTCACAAAATCTTCCAATGATTTACCAAACTGCTCTTAAAACGCTGCTTTGGCAAAGAATTTCCCACAATAAAAAAAGCACACATCTGTAATAAAAAAGCCTGCCCGAGCCCTTGCAGGGAGAAGGTTCCTTATATGTAAAAAAGGGGAAAGAAAGGAAAGAAAGGAAAGGAAAAACTGAAGTAAAATGACCCAATAGAATAAAAATTCAGCGCCAGCACAATGTGTGATATGTCTTGTAACAAAATAAGTCTTTATGTTGATGGGGAAATATGAGCATGTTAAATTCGATTCAGGTTTTTAACCAACTCATCCAATGAGATAAGGAGAAACTAAATGCTAAATTCAGTCCTCGAGCTTTTTTGGGTCGTGTTAGAGGTTAGACTGCAGAAACGTTCATGCTCCCAGCACCGGATGAAGCTTTCTACAATGATGTTATCACATCTAGTTCATGTAATACTTCAGGGTGGTGTTTTACTAATTATAGTTAATAATTATATCAAACAGTAGAATATAACATTTTTTAAAAACAGACCCAAACAAAGAGAAAGTGAAAAACAGCAGTTTCAAAGTGGAACGCAGACATGAGTCCACGCATGGGAGCCAGATGTCTACCTTCACCTCAACCTTCCAACCTCCTTTCATGATCTATGTTTCTTGTTAATAAGCCAGCCAAGTGGCACGATTTCATCCTGCTCCAACTCACTACTGGCTAATACCACAGATGGTTACCTAGAAATATGCCACAGATCTCTATAAATTGAAACAGAGTTAGGTTTCACAAGTGCAGGCCTCTCACAGTTAAAAGAGAAATCAGATGACTGCAAATATTTCAGATTGTCGTTATTGCCGTTCTATAATTCTATTCACTCAGCCGGGTGACTGACCACTTTAAAGGGTAGGCCATCGCACTCTTCCCCTTTTCTCGGTTCCAGCTTTATCCTTTTCTCTATCTCTCACACAAACAGTGTCAGAGCAGTTATCTCCCTTGTTTATCTGCCGCGCCATAACACTGTTAACAGGCAATTAAAAGCTTAATCAGCTGTAAAGCGGCGAGCAGCAGCGAGCTTCTGCGCCCAAGTATTTTTTCCATCAATAGAAGGAGTGTGGGGGACAGAGTGGCACCTAAGTGTGTTTGGCTCGTGCTCCCAATAAACAAGCTTCTGCGCCGTAATATAGCAACAGAGGGGCGGGCAGTGAGGTTTGAAATGTCACTGGTCATGTTGTCGGTAATTGAACAACAGTGGACAACGTCTTTTTTGTCCTTTTCAAAATAAGAATTCTTTTTTTGCGGCAGGTTGAGAGGAAACTCGCTCATCTTTCACAATCCGTCTCGCAGACAGAGCAAAGACGGCCAGATGCCTGCGGACTCTCCTCTTCTCACCTCTCTCTTACGCACTCCTGCTGCATGTTTAACCATCCAGGCTGACACACCTCAAACTCAAATGATTCATGTCATAAAACTATTTGAGTGCTGAGGCAAAGGAAGTTCAATAAAAGTTTAGAGCACTTATTCTCGGGCCAAGTTTCAGTTCCAAATTCATTGCTACTGAGGAAGAGAGTTCTCCTTTGGCGCAGTGGTCAGCATTAAAAGGAAAAATAAGACGATGATAAACAGTTATACAGCATCACTTTGATTATTGGACAGGTGGATTATTTAGTTTGCGAGGTTGTTGTATGTAGCTGATCAGTAGTAGGTGTCCTCTTGGAAAAGCATTTATTTCTTCAGCTTTCAAGCAACTAATGTATCAAAATGTTAAGTTTCATCCATGTGAAACTCCAGATTAAAATGATGATAACAACAACAAAAACATAGATATTAATTGTGATCATAACCACTGCTTTGTCATGTCCCTGTCAAACTTTCAGTATGGATTTTCCCGTCATGGGCTCACCTGTGTCGGGCTCCCGGCCTCCTCTCAGTCCACCGTGCCCTGATATCCTCTCCTATTCACACGGAACTGAAGAAATTACAAAGCAGCCGCGTGCCCTGGAACTCTAAGCTGCAAGAGCTGCAGATGAGCGATACTTGGTGACAGCCTCCCTCGTGCCACAGAGAGACAGGGAGAGTCAGAGAGGGAGAGAGAGAAAGCAAAGAAGAAAGGGAGGTCAATGCTGCTTCCTGGTGGCCTCCCGGTGTAATGAGCGCCATCGACCGTGAAATGAGTCAAACTTTGTGTCACGAAGGGGCCAAAGCAGGTCAAACTGTACGGAGGAGATACTCAAGTGCTTATGAGACTCTATATAGCGTTTGAGATTTTTCTTTCTTTCTGTATTTTCAAGAAAAATCACAACAAGACAAATAATCCACCAGTGTGCAGGGACAGTTAAACTTGTCCATCCCAACTCAACTCATCCTCAAAGAGAGGAAGATCAAGCCTTTGCATACCTGTGAAAAATAGAAATAATAATGTGGAAACGTTACAGCATACCACTGTGTGTGATGTACATCAGTGGGGATTTAGAGGTCTCCATCCTCAGTGCTGACTGAAAACAATCGGCCTACACTTTGGTGTTTAAGAATCGGCTTATTGACTTAATTGGACGGAGATAAAATGGAATGTGAATATCTGTTCTGATGTCTTAGCTTAGCTCAGCTAAGCTGTCAAAGCATGGTACAACCAAAAGTCCTTTCATAGTCTCTGGCAGGATCCCTTCAGTTGAACAAATCTAGCATCAAAGGGCCAATAGTTCAACATTAACTATTCTTGGAAAGTTAATCTGATGGCCGGTGACTTCCCTCAAACGTATTCTTTAATGGCTTTGCCATTAGGAAGAGAAAGCAGGACCAAACACACAATCAAATATATGTACTTCACTTTAAGATATTGTCTTGGATTCATCTTTGAATCTGGTAATTAAGTGGATATCTGATGGCTCTCACAGAATAGCCTACTATTATTTCAGCAAATAATGACAATTAAAGATTTTTTAAAAGCTATATTCATTCAACAGTTCTCACATATAAATTATACACTTTCTCCTTTTCATTTCACTCCTCTTCGTTTCGAATTGAGTGAACGATGCCGATTAATCTTCTACAGTGCGTCGGCCTAAATTACGAGTAGCATTAAACGCACCGTGCTCCGGTGCGGCTGTGTAGTTCAGGTTTCCTCAGAGAAAACAGTGACGCCATACAAACAGCAGGAACCATGACACACGGGTCGCTCAGGTCGAGCGACGCTCATTGTAAGGATTAAAAGGCGATGACAGCTGTCTGGCTGGAACTTGGAACCAGTTTTAGGTCCAATTCAGCCATCGCTGCTTTGAGCAAAGAGGAACACTTCGATCGTGTCAACTTTTCGAAGGGTCTGAACAGCAGCCTCTGCAGCGACCCCTCAATGTCTAAACTACCAGGAAGTGCAGGTGTTTCGCTGCTCGGGGACAAATCCCTGGAGTTCTACCGGGACCCGGTGAGCTTCTGCCGGCAGCGGATTGAAAAACACCGGGTCAGGGTGTTCCAGAGCCGCCTGCTGAACAGACCGACCGTGTTCATCTGCTCCGTGGAGGGGATGAGAGAGCTGCTGTGCGGTACGTTTGGTTTAGTTGGACTATTATTGTGCACGTTTCTATATGTGTGCATGCGTGCAAGAAAACTGGATGGTGTGCGTGGGATTGCACATAAAGAAACTAATGCAAAATATCCGAAATTGCTATCATCGTTTTTGGAAGGAGTTTATGGTTTGGGGGGTCTCCATTTATTTATGTTTTCTTGAAGTGTAACAGTGGAAATACGTTAAGACTTGTTTTCCTCTTTTTTCTTCTGCAAAATCTACTTGCTTTATTTTTGACATTTTCATTTCCACTGAGTGACGGAGGTGAGCAGTGATGTCAAAGGGCCAGATGATTGGACAACAACAAACACAGTAATCCACCCATGCTTCCAGTTGTCACGTGGAAAACAAGTTTCCCAAAACAACTTCTTGCAATCATCACCAGATAAAGAGAGTTCGGTCTCATATTTTGCTTAATGACTTGACTTTTGCAGCCCCTCATTAGAAAAAACTTCCAGATCAGATCATTATCTCTTGTCTCAACAACTGCAATCATCTCTATCCCACCAGGTGTCAGGGGAATATTTCTATATATGGTTCAAAACATAGCAACTTGTTAGTTGCCTGATCAAAAAAAAAAAAACTGTCCATGCCACCTCCCTTATCTCGCCTGGCTCTTCCATGGCTGCCCCAACCACACTAATGGTTTTATTGCGTGCCCGTGTAGCTTATGTGGGGTCTCTACCAGGCTACCCACACTCATTCACAAGGCTTTCTGCTGGTTTTTGGACACGTGCATTCCTCTCTCCATATCTAGAGCGTCATCTTTTGCTTTGATCCTTCCACACACAAACCGGCCACAGTCCAGCCTTTTCTCATTTGTGGTTCCACGGCAGCTGAATGAGCTATGAAATGCCACCAGACCACTGAACCCTCCTGCATTTATTTAATACGACTGCTCCAGGTGTTCTCATTCTCTGCCATTTACATAGAAGTAAGTTCATTAAGTATTTGATATGTACACCAGAGATTTATACCATTCTGAAATTTGACCCTTTTACTTGAATTCCATTTGAATAAGGCTGTTAAATGACTGCGAGTGTTAGTCAGTGTAAATTCGACCCCAGATTTATCATTCTTGACCTCACATATTCACATATGGTGAATCTTGTTGTGTCTTTAGCTTTGTTGAAATAATAATAAGCGTCTGACACCACTCTGTATGTTGTTAACTTTGTGGTTTTATTGTTTTTCCCATCCAAGCTTCCCGATTCAAGTGTCAGTGATTCTCTCTCTGCTGTCCATGCCTTTGTTTCCATCCGAAACCAAAAATAGTGGAAGAATTTGGTCACCAGCTAAAGATTAAAAGCGGCCCTTGCATCTGTTTTCTTTATGTTGAATGGAAATGTCAGTAGAATTTGGCGCTTTGTTAGTACAGCTAGAAAAACTTGGCTGGACTGGGTTGCAGCAGATCTGCTAAAGGGGGACTCTGCCTCCCACTTCAGTACCTGCAATCCGGTATGACCGCCATCACCTAAAGCTGAAGATATGACGAGTGCAGCCTTTATGCTGCCCTCAGACACACCTCATTGTCATGCCACGGTTGCCATGGCTTCATACAGTGGAGAAACCAAGCAAGATAAAGCGCTCCCACTGGAGCCGGAGGGGATTCTGAGTAATTACCAGACATAACCTCGCAGCCGTTCAGAAAAACGACACATACCAAATTAAGAAATACAACGTGCCCCAAGTCATGTCTGTGTTTTTAGCACCTGTGTGTTTGGAGAGAGGAAAACACTCTTCTGGGGACACAGAGCTGGATGTGTGAGAACAAAAGACTGTGCCTTTGAGTTTTTGGGTTGTGTTTTTTCAGAGAAGTCCAACGTGTTTCTGAAGGATCCCACCGATTTGATGACCAACATGTACGGTGACACCATTGTGACCACAAATGGTAAAAAAAAAACAAGAAACAAAAACCCATACACACTGAATTTTTCATTATTTATGTTGTAAAATAGCAGTCCGCAATTGAATTGTGTGTACTTGTTTGTTTGTTTTTAGGTGAGGAGGCCTGTCTCCTCCGTCTTTCCCTCACCAGCCTGTTCTCGGGAACCTGTTTAAAATCATCTAAAGATTATATCTCCAGGTTCTGTAATTGACGCACACAGTCTTTCAGTCTTTATATCTGAATTCTGCTGTGAAACCTATTATGATCTGAATCTTTTCTCCTACAGTGTGTGTGAGCGCTGTCTGAAGCGCCTGTCACTCAGGTAACACTTTATGACTATGCTGTCTTCTAATTCTTGAAGTTCTTCGCTTTGGTTTTATGTTTGGAAGTTAATCACCCAAGTTTTTGTCTTTAATTGGTCAGGAAATACATTTTCTTCATAATGGACGTATTTTAAGGCTACATAGCTTTTGATTTGCCCAGATATTGTGCAGGAAAACACACACTCTTGTGGTATACTGTATTAAAGAACTGTGTGTGTGTGTGTGTGTCTGTGTGCATGTAGTGGTGAGCCAGAGTGTGTGTACTCTGTCTTTAAACAACTGGGAACAGAGTTGGTGTTGGGCCTTTTCCTGAATATACGAGCAGAAGAGCAACCTGAACTTTTCCAGGAAATTATGCAGCTCTGCACTCAACATTGGCATGGTATACACACACACACACACACACACACACACACACACACACACACACACACCTGCACGCATAAAACACACAAGTAGTACAATTCATATATATATGGTAGATCTATGTACAGGGCTGTTGTCAGCTTTCCAAAGCAGCCTGATTTCTTTTTTAAAGGTTGCTTTAGATAAATCTCCCAAAAATATTCTATTAATTTGTGTGATGTGGAAAAACTCTCACAGTACAACTAAGCATTGCACTCCTTCTCACGTTGTGTCATAGTGTCGAAGTCTTGAGAAAGTAAAGTGCAGTTCTACATTGCAAAACTTCCCTTTTCTGTCTTTTTTTGGTTTATTTTACTGTTTGTACGTGTGTATTGTGTATACGGTGTGTACTGTGTATACTGTGTGTGTTTTTTTCTGTACTGTGGGTGATAGCTGCTCCTCTTTGCAGGTCTGATCTCAGCCCCGGTAAACATGAAGGTGCCTCTGTGGTCATCGGGTTTCTCCACCGCTTTGGAGGCCAGAGACAAGCTGATGGACATCATCAAAGACAAGCTGGAGAACGACACTCAGGGGTGAATCCACAACATGAATTATTCCCACTCTTTTTTTTTAAACAAAGGTTAATGTCCAGCTCACGTTTGTCTCCTCTCCAGCTTCGTGGGCTCCCTTGGCTCTTTGCCCCTGCCAGACTCCAGTTCTGCTGCTCAACATCTGCTGCTGTTCATCTCAGCTCTCATTCCCAAAGCTTTGGCCTCACTGCTCACTTCCTTCACTCTGGCGCTCGGTGGAAATGAACAGGTGCCAAAAACTCAGTCAGCAGTGAGGGGGGGTTCATAAAGAGATCTTGTAGAGCACCAAGAAGTGGCTCTTCTGTCTGTATGAGGAACGATTTTAAGGAAAGCTGTGGCTTTGAACCTTGATGATATAGAAAAATGCATTGCTTTGTGTCTGTTTTACTGGGATTTCTGGGATAAGATATGTAAGATGAAAGGCAATTTCATATTGCACAAATGCCTCCGTAACAGCAGTAGTCATGCCCCGTACCATTTTCTCCATGTTCAGGAGGAAACTCGTCGCCGAGCGATGGAAGACCCCGATTACCTGCACAGAGTCCTGCTGGAAGTGCAGAGACTTTGGCCTCCCTTCATTGGTGGGCGCAGAATAGCTGCTCAGGTAGGACTGATCATCTGTTTGCAGGTTTTAGCATAACAGCTTATCATCAATTAAAAAAAAGTAAAGCTCTTGTTTTAAATGACAGTAATCCAGGTTGTTCTCCTTTTAAAAATATTTTGCTGGATTTATTACAGGAAATGTGATGCATGCTTACAATAAGACTCTTAAAACCAAGCGTTACACCTGAAAATGCACCTGAAAATGCTTCATCAGCAACCAACTAAAAAATGGATTCAACGTACATACGAAAAACACAGAACAAAGCATTTACATGAACCCGACCATAACGCTTCCACAAGGATAAATCCATACCCTTACAGTGGGGACTGATTTGTTGAAGTACTGAACAGAAATCTACGCTATCGTAAAATAATTTCCACATGTGACAGATGGGGGTCACAGATTTATAGATTTCTTGCAATGGTATAAAATGTGTGGATTCCACCTGACTTACACCTATCCATCTCAATTTGATGTGCCTGTTGGATAGCTTTTCTTTAGTTTGACTATGTGTGTGTGTTGTGTAAAATGGCGTGGCCCAAACCACATCTCCTATTAGGATTATGCTTTATATCATAACACAGAACAATTTGGAAGGAGGTGCTAGAGATTACTCAGATTAAAGGACAGACAGTAATCTGGCCCCATATCGTGGTTGAATAATAAATTACAAGCCAAACACTCTGTGTGAGCTCGGAGCTGTCAGGAAAGCTTTGCTGAATTCAAACTGGTCTGAGATCACCACTGGGTGAAACCACCCGTGTCTGGATGGGTGACAGTCTGAAATGAACCGTATTCCAGATGAGGTGCATCAGCTGGTGGGAGTACCAGGGCGACAGGAGTCTTATATCTCACACCCCTCTTCCACTTAACATAACGCATGATGCACGGTTAACACGAGCAAAAGCTTGTGAACAAATAAATCTGAAGAAGTATACGTTTTCAGAAGTTAAATCAAACAGGTCATCTGCAGAAACAATATGCTCATTTATCCTATTAAGAAGGGTCCTTTTCACTATCTTCAGAACGGGTAATTTCTTGCTGTGACCGTTAAATACTTAAACTATTTTACTGGCTTTTCCTTAAATAATCAGCACCAAAAGAGCAGAGCCAGGGATACACAATCTGAAGCCCTCGTTTTGTAGTTGTGGTGTTATGCGAAATCAATTGCTTTCCTCTTCTGTTGGTAACAGTTTACACTGTAAAGCTCAGTTCTCTGTCTGCCACTAGATGGCGAGAGGTGACCAAAGATGGCGGCACCAAGGTGCAAAGTCGGGGCGAAAGAGAAAAACAAACTCCTGCTGATTGTCCTCTGGGTTTACATTGAGATGCTCACATTTTGATTCAAATCATATTTAAATTCAAACTTTGTCGTGTGGCTGAAAAGTCGTAGAAATTAAGCAATTCTAAAGAGGGCAGGTATTCCATCTCGGTGGTTTTCTGTTAAAAATGAGGAGCATTTAAGCAGGTGCGTGTAACCTCATAAAGGAAACACCAGCCCAAATGTGAGCTGGGTATATTTTATTCCAATGTATCTTTTTTTTCATTATGTTAAGCTATCATTTGAAAATGCTTTTGGTAACTGGCATTATGCCTACATGCAGAGCTAAGTAAAGTCTGCTTCGCGTGACTATGTTTTCCCCCTCGGCCTCTTTTATAAATGGCAAATTACAACCCATCCGTCCATAAAAAACCCACCTTTACTCGTCTTGTCTCCCAATTGGCTCTCTGCCCACTCTGAGGATGGGCAGCTCAGCCTCTTCCCACTACAGCTATCCATGATCATTATGACCTCATCAAACCGGCTTACGCAATGACCCAATAGAGGGCATTGATCCCCTCGCTGTGATTGATTGTCTCCATTCCCCCCCGGAAGGAAGGAAGGGAGTGGAGGTCAGGCTCTCTGTAAAGTGGAAAGTTTTGACATGTCTAGGAAATGCACCAGTAGGTTTCCTTTCCTGTTTCATAACGGGTGCTGATTCATTGAGGTTATGAGCGCAGCAGTTATGAAGAAAAAACTGACAATTAAGTGAGACTGGGCAAGATGGAGTTTAATTTGCACGCAAGTTTAATTTAGTACTGAGGGGGAGGAAAGAGGACGCAAATATCCACAGGGACAGGTAGGTGTATGGATATTTGTTGAGGAGTATATCAACTCAAACCTGAAAGTAACTGTTTGGAGAGCACTTACAGTTAATTAGCGGTGCTCTGTCACCGCCATGGGCCGTCCCCAGCCAATACCGCCATGTAACCTGCACTAATAGGCGCCAACACGCACCAGGAGGGAGCTGGCGAGGTGTTCAGGGGCGAGTTAAAGTGAGGGAGAAAAACTGTTAGTATTCACAGTCAGGTGGAAAATCCAGACTCTCCGTCAAGTGGAACAAAGATATGCAGCATATTTTAACAAGCTTCACGTGCGTACGTGTGAGGGAGGGAGTTTGCGGAGGAATGACGCGAGAGCAGGATCAGAAAGATCTTTTAACAAGAACCGGGCGAGTGGGAAATCTGAGGAAGATTTTCCACTCTGCCACACAGAGGCAGAACAAAAAATGAGGGCGTCGGGGAAAGCATCAACTGTACTATCCCCCCCCAAAAAAATGGGAAGAAAAAATGGAAAAGGCCTGAAAAACAGGGCAATACAATACATACATAAATACATTCATCTCCTCCCATTCAGATTATTGTCTGTATAAATCACTCTGCATATGTGTGTGCTGGTACAGGACTCCACTCTGTCAGGGTTTCACGTCCCTAAAGGTTATGGAGCGGTCTATATCAGCCACGCTGTGCACCGAGACCCAGAGGTGTTCCAGCAGCCTGACAGCTTCCTGCCGGAAAGATGGAGCGGGAGGTGAGGATCTTACTTTCTGTCTATTAATATTCCTGTCGGTGTTGTAAAAACCATCATGGGTATCATAAAATGTATTTTACCACAAAGACATAAGACATGAGACTCAAAATCAAAAGAATAGTTGGGAAATCTAAAGAATTTGTCACACTTTTTGCACCTTATATGATACTAATAATGACGTCAAAGTGCCAAATAATCAATATTTGAATATTTGTTTGGTGGGGACAGCAGATTCCCCCTCTCCGGTGGGAAAATTTGGAGAGCTGAGCTTTACATGTTTTGCAGCATCCACGCTTGACTCCACAGTGTGATACAACACAAGCACGCACATTCACAGACACACACACACACACTTACCTTTGGGGGGAACAAAAGGAAAGGAGCTTTCAGCAGCGTGACACATTTGGCGTTGAGGTTGATGTTGAGCATCACAAAAAGCCTTTTCCCTAAAAGCCACAAAAAAAATGTGAAAATAAAAGCACTGGTATGTTTTCAGGCTCTAGTTTATATCAAGAGAATTAAGAAAGAGTTTTTTTTCACAGGCCATTGGAATAAAAGGCATTGAAAATGGTGAGGCTTTATCAAGTTGATGAAAAAAGGCTTTCTGAAATGGAACTCTGTTTAATGGGGGCTGATGTGAACTCAGTCCATCAGAGCAGGGGAAAAAAAGTGTCAGGAAAGGTGTTAAATGATGATGATGAACAAGAAAAAACCTCCTAAAAAGCACAGTGTTTACCACCAAAGCACTCACCGGTATTTCATACGTAGTACATCAACAGCTGTAACACCATTCTAGTACCAACGGCAGTACCAACAACCCATCTGCCATCAACACATGAGCCACTGTATGCGAGTCAGCCCACACAAAAGAAAATAAAAAAATATGAGCAAATAGTGCAATATTACAATAAAAAGAAATAATCTTCTGATGGTTTCACTGCCTCGTAGTTCTAGTCTTCAGTATTTTTTAAAGAAACGGTGTACATAAGAGCTCAAGAGTTAATCTATCCAGTTATGAGGGTTTTATTTTTCCTTTTTCAACACGACAACCTGCTTGCATTTATTTCTCTGTTTACCAGAATTGTATTATTTTTATATATATTCTATTTATAAATTTTAAAATGATTATTCCACATCCGTACTTATGCACAGCACACGTGCAATTTAAAAGAGGCTTTGTCTGTGTGTGTGTGTGTTTATATATATATATATATCTTGTGATCCAATTGATCTGTACTATACTGAAATGGAGATAGCCATACGTTTTAATTGGCTCCAAACACGCTTTTAAAAATAGATCATACAGCTCCTGCTTTTGCCAGTGACCGAAGTCACGCATAATAAGATTAAAGCACCAGTGCAAGCGGCAGCCTGCCTTTTACTGGAAAATCAGAGCCATGTGGGTGCGTCAGCACCCATTTTAACAATAAAATTTTTACCTTGAACTCTACATTTCAGTTAGCAAAATACACAGATCAAATCGAAGACAAAAACGAGCCTCCCCCCTGTGCCTGTGACCTTTTGCAGATGAGTGAAACCCCATCTTGCCCATTGGCTCTCCCAGTCAACACTTTCTCTATTCATCCTCCTCCTTCATTCATCTGTTTATCCTCATTCATGCCCATTCACTCCAGCGAAAGAGTGGAGGGGAGAGGATCTATGAATGTATGCATCTGTTGCCATGGAAACGGGTCACCTGCCATTGTCTTTACCAATAGGGATTCCCCGCCAGCGCGTTCGGTCGGCCGGGTGGGGGAGCAGCTGTTTTTCTCTCCCATGATGCCTTCCAGAGTGTAATGAGATACAGACATATGAGTCAGAGGGGATCTTTTTTGTCGTTGTTGTTGCCGTCGTATTTTGAGAATAACAGAGGGAGGAGGGGATTCCTCCAAAATTTCTGCCATTTCGTTAGATCTGACCGTAAAAATCAGTGAGATGGGAGGCATGCAAAGATCCCTGTTTTCAGCTCTCACAGGTAATGTCTGACTGATTTGACCTTTTTTTAAAGTTCCAACGAGATTCCTAGGATATGATATTTAAAAAAAAAGCTAAATAAAGATGATAACTACAATACATGCCAGGGACAACCTGTGTGCACCTTAAAAGTGTGCAGGATCTTAATTTGGTGACCATTGCTATTTGTGAGGATTTTTAAGGCCAAAAAATAAATCAATCTATGAATGAAAAGACAGGTTGATGTTGCCGTGGTAACTGGCGACCTCACACCTATTTTTACCAATGGGGATTCCCTCTGTGATTCTGTATGTGTATGTGTATGTCTGTGCAGTGTGCAGAATGGGATGGGGCTGGGGAGTGAGTCAGAGATTTTCCTTGAGGCAGTGGGATGTAAAAATCCAGAAATGAATTTAAGCCACGCAAAAAAAAAGAGTGAAAAACAGATGTAAAAACTGCGCTATGTAGACGACAACTATATCTAAGAGGATTTAATTCTTTTTTTATTTACGGGAAATTAAGGACATGTTTGGTCAAATATCAGATTACTGTCTATAAATTCTACCAAAGGCCAGCCTGCCTTAAATGTTCCTGGCATCAAAAATTGTCAAGAAATATCGACAGTGCTCCCCTTTGTGACACGTTCCTGCATCAGTGTGAAAAATTTAGCTTTGACACAGAATTGCTGCTCCAATAAATACCGTCTGATTTAAATCATTAAATCCAAACGGTATTAAAAATCTATAACCTTTTTTTCACATTTTAAAATGTATGCCTATGGTAGGAAACAGGTGTTTGTGTACAGAATGCTCATTACCATATTATAACTGATTTTTAGCCAAAGTGACGCGCAGACTGAAGCCCATCCCCAGGATTAACACATCTCTCTCTCTCACTAGCAGTATATTTCTGTGGGTTTGCGGTATCTTTACCTTTATCTGATCTGTTTCTCTTTCCTTATATCTTTCCTTCCATCCATCTGCCAGTCTTCCTGTAAATTGAGTTCCTGTCTGCAGTGATAGTTTCCAGGCTCCTTTTCATGCCACCTGTCTCTTTAATATAATGACCGCAGTTCTGTTATATAACAAGCCTACCTAGCGCCGCAGTTTCGTCTGTTTGTGCTTTATCTCTTTTTTTTAATAATAAAAAACAACAACATTTGTTCTGTTTTTGTTACATATGATGTCCCAGTGCAGATGTTCACGGCGTGTGCACATGTGTGTTATTTGCGGGCTTGTGCCTTTTTCCAGTTGGAAGCAAATAGTGAAGCTGGCAAGTTAACAACCCATCAGCCAAACGCCCACACAGACTCCGGCCCCAGATAAGTGAATTGGAAAAGCTAGCAAGCACAGATAAAAATCTCAGCCTTTGCAGGGGGGCCGGGCTGCGGGATTCTGATTAATCCCGGAATAGAGACTTTTCCTTCTTGTTTAAAATGTGCCAGTATACATCTGTTTTTCATTGCAAGAGGAATTTCTTTTTTCCCAGCGTTTCTGCGTTTCCATTTTCATTTTTAAATGCCCTCTGAGAAATCATGTAAAGTAAGATAAATGAGGACATCATCTGTGTTTGTCATTTAAATAGTTTTGATAATGACATTTATATTCAAATACACATTGATAGTTGAATAAAACAATTATTCAATGAAATTTACTTACATCAAATATATAATCAGTGTTATTAAATGATGTGCCACTAATAAATACTCTGTCGTGTAGTCTTTATTTATTTATAATTTTTAATGTTATCATTATTATTGTTGTTGTTGTTGTTAGAGCACAAAAGTAAACAGAATCATCGTCTATACTTTCACTTCATTAACAGTTTTATTTGGGGTTCTGCTGGATTTCTTCTACGAACATGATTTTTTAAAGAGTAAATATTGTTTGTCTAGATATGTTCTCTTTGTTGACCGGCAGATTTTCTTTCTCGATTTTTCTTTCATTTCTTATTTTACAATGCCCAAGACCTCACTTGTAACACAAACGGGGACATTTGTGCGAGATTTTTCTTTTTTCATAGAAACTAAAACTCATTTCCTGCTATTGAAACCGTCAGTAAGACTCATGACTGAAGTCAGACTAAAAAAAAAACTAAAAGATGTCAGTCTTTTTGAGCTCAGCACCCGTTATGAAACAGGAATCAGTTTATCTATATATATATCTATCCTTCATCTCCTCTATTAAAGCCAACAATTCTCTTGAATTATGTAGAATAAACATCCTCTAGATTTACCATCGCCTCTGACTTCCTTCTCTTTCCATTTTACAGGAGTAAACTGAATTATACTGGACACCAGATTATGCGCCTCTGAAACCGCATTGAACGAAAATACGCATAGCCAGAACGCTAATAATCTCCCTTCTCACACGCACAAATCCATCTGACACACCACTTTCTGACTATACACATATCACTAATGCTTCCTGTTTGCCTTTAATCAGAGCTAAGGTTTCAGGAAGACAGGATGCATTAGACAGAGGAGGCAGGGGATGGCCGCCATCAGCAGGTTATTGGCTGACAGCTTGAAACAACTGGTCTCGTCTAAAGTGTATTTTTAGAGGCCTCGTATTGGAACATAACAGCAGGTACGATGGAGGGAATCGGGCTGATAAGTTAGGACACTGACTCATCCCCATTTTTTTGTTGTTTTTTTTTTGTGCACCTTCAGACTTGCTCATCGGAATACACATTCTCAAAGCTTTTTAATTGCCTTTCTTGCCACAGAGAGGTGAGCTGGATCAAGCATGGTGTGTGGGTGTTTTCTGAGAAAACGCACGCATCAAATGGAGCTTGTGCTCAGCAGTAACAGTTTTTCTTTAGAATCATGCAGCATGTGGTGCATATTTGTGCCACTGGTTTCAAGAAGGAAGAACAGAAGTAGACTTACATTTAGTTGAATAACAAAATATGACATAAAAAGTAATTAGGCTTGAATGTATGTATCCATATATATATAAGTGTGTGTGTGTATGTAAAGACTGTTGAAATATTTTGCATAGAATGTCCACTCACGTGCTCATCCTGTGATATTTATGTCAACCAGCTGACATTACTTTCCTTCATAGTTTTCTTTGTGGCAGTCATGATGGACGTTCTGTTGAAAATTGTGAAAACGCATCAAGCACCTACCAGTGATCATTCATTGCCACAATTTACCTGAGTTTCAGCATCGACTGAGAATTTGTTGATGTACCTGGCTGATTCCTTTTCTCATAGTTTCTTGTCCGACTGTGTTTTTCTGCAGGAACGCTGGCCAGGAGCACTTCCTGTGTTCCTTTGGCAATGGGCCCAGGAGCTGCATAGGGGTTAAGCTTACCGATTTCTTCCTCAAGGTGACAATACCCAAGATGCCTTAAAAAACACCCGGGTGTTTTCATAAACTCACAAACACACTCACACACACACTCACGCATGTCTCAGTCTGTCTAACTGTCTGCTCTCTAGGCATAGCTAATGGAAAACTTCATGAAAATGGCCTTCTTACCATGTTTTATCTCACTCTCTCTAACCTGACTGCATTTCCCCCCATTGTCTCTGTTTGTACGTTACAGTCTGTGCAAACATGAATGCTAACAGTTCCTCGCGTGCTTATTTTAAGGCCAATAACTGTAGAAGTTATAAGAGAACCAATGTCTTTATCATGCAGAGAAGCGAACATCATGAGGAGATTTTGTCAGATGCTCTACTTTTCTGTGATGTACACTGAAAAAAAAAAAAAAGGCTCCTAGCACGCCAGCTGTGGCTGGTGCACTTGCAAACGCACGGTGAAAAAACTCCTAAGAGAGAAACCACCATCCCCCAACCATCCAGGAAATGGAGAAGTGCCCATGGGAATGACGAAACACTGGGCTGTGTGTCCCCATGGCACCACTTGCTATAGTAACCACTGGCTCAGGAAAGCACCAGGCCACGGCATGTATGTTACAGGTGTGACCATTTTACTTTTTACAGAGTGGCCAAGCCCTTTGGAGAAAGCTACACGTGTGATCATATGTTATTTATTAGTTTTAAGAGCCTTGACGTTGACTAGTCAATAGAGTGGCGCCGACATGCTAATATTCTCAGCAGCTACAAGGCCCTATTTAATATACTGGATTCACTCCAAATCTAATGCCTCCTTTTCATCCATGACAAGGTGATTACATGTTTTTATACAATCCATTAACCCTGAGCCTTTACTATAAAGCAAAATTACAACAGAGGAGCAAAACACATTCATCTGTAACTTTTTATAAACTTCGAAACAGAAAAATTGCGTCAGCTCTTAAAAGAAAGACAATGAACGTTAGGTAACTTTTTGATTTCCATTTGAGGCACTATATTCTGCTGCCTGACCTGTCAGATCTTCCCACAATTAAAATACTCTCGTCTTTCCATGACGGCATCAGGCTACAAGTTCAGATGACTATGTTATCACATGGAATTTGGAGGCTTGATCGCACCGTCGACACTCGGAAGAGTCACAGTGACTAAGGAAAGAGTCACGAACGCATGAAAGAAAAGGGTCAAGGATTACACCCCTGTCGTTCGACTGGACGCTGCATCAGAAACATTACACTTCAGTCATCAGTGCTGTTATTCCATCCATCCATTATCTGTACCGCTTATTCCCTGGACGGATCGCCAGTCCATCCCAGGGTCACACAGAGACAAACAACCACACTCACTCATATTCAGTGTTGTTATCATAGAGAGGAAATTCAAAACACAGCCAGCAAACTAACTCATAGAAGCAGAAAGCAATGAAAGCCTCTTAAATAAAAGCAATAAGCCTCCCCCACAGTTTCCCCACTTGCCTTAAAAGCATATTCCATTAAACACACTCAAGGCCAGGTCTCTGAATTTCGATATGATTTACACCTATAGCAATAATTATGGTGAATATCCATTAAGTCAGCCCATTATTTTTATATCTACGTTTACAGCTCGATTGGCAGCCTGGAAGTCATAAAAAACAGTCGTTTAACCAACAGGAAACAGCACATATTTGTTTAGTGATTTTTCCAAATCTTCCATTTTTCCACGGATGCATAATGCCAAAAACAGATTAAAAATCAATGAAAATGCAATCAAGGCCCTGATGGTGCGCCACAGTGAGCTGGGGCGCGCTAGCTTAGCATTTCATGTTAGAAACTCGAACCAAAACTTCAGTCAGTTCCAGTCATCAGTTAATGAACATTTCTGCTCTTAAAATGAGCTTTTGCTGTCGATGTTCTGTGACAAACTGGAAGCTTTATCAGTTTACTCTGTCTAGTGAAACACTCAGACCTCCCAAACCAAAAGGCCAGATGAGGGTGCCGAGGGAAGGAAGCACTAGTCAGCCAGTAAGAGGCTTATCTCAGCAGTCTACATCCGATGAGTCAGACTGTTAACCAACACACTCAAAGTATGTTATTTAATCTACGTCGGCAGATTTAAATCAGCCTGACATCCCCAATCTTTCTTTTCCTTGAGATGATTTTGTCAGATGAGTTGACACCTTTTCCCAAAGTTTTAAAAAGGTTGAAGACGTCCTTTGGTCAAAGTATGACTTGTTTGAAACCCAGGACCCAGAACAGACATAAAATACTAAATCTATTACTCCAGGCACACCGATGACACCTGAGCTTTTTCAGATGGAGACTGAATGCTTACTGATGCCCATAAGGAGATCAGAAAACATACATTTGTGCCCGTTGTTGCTGTGTTTAAACAGTCTCTATGTATTTGCACAGGTTTTCATGTCATTAAATAAATAAGAAATATGAACTCAAAGCTTTAAAACATTCAAATAAACTACAACATTTAATGGATGCAGAACACTGCACAACACTCAGAAGACAAAACAGAGCAGACATTTGTTTACGATGATGAAGGCCAACAATTCGAATTACAGAATATTTTTTTCTCTTCAAAACTGGCTTTGTCACTCCTGAAGGTAAAAAACAAAATAACATTTACTGTTAAAATTTTAACCGTTTTCTTTGTTTGGGAAAAAAGTGTCAGGTTTGAGGTGATTAGGAGAGTTTTTATTTGAATTTCTTTTTCATATTTAGCGTAAAACAACAGAATACAATATAAATACTCAAAACAATAATAATAATAATAATAATAATAATGAAAGACTGTGTTTCGTATGGCTTATGAGCAGAATGATGTGGCTGGAACAAAACAGCCATGTTAATGTCATATTTGAATTTGAATTATAATTCATAACTAGATTAACATATTTTACATATTCAGATCAAATTAATGAAAAAAATATTTCGTTCTCTTTAGAAAATTATTCCACATGCCTTCTGAAGGCAGTGCGACTGAACATATTTCCTGCTTTGATATAATTATGTTTCAGTGCATTTTTGTTAATTAAAAAAAACAAAACATTTTATTCTTTTTTTTTTATTTTATTTAAATGTAATTTTCAGTCTTTATTTGCACAGATTATTTTATGGAAATATTTAATTTGATTCGTCTTATTTATATGTCTGGGAAAAACTTGGGTTATTTTAAGTATATGTGAAGTAGTTTTGCATATTAGTAGCTTTTAGCAGGGTTAGGGTTAGAGCTGACCATTTGCCAAAGACACACACACACACACACACACACACGGGCACAGAGCAGGACATGACCAGAGTAAAAAGTAGACCGCGGGGATCTAGGTCAGAGATGTGACTCATCTCCCCTCATCCCTTCCCTGTCCTCCTTCCTCCCCACCCCCGCTCTCATCATCCCTCCACTTTTTCTTTTACCCTTTCATAGTGTTGAGGGGGGAATTTAATGTCAGCTTTGCAGCATCAAAAAATGCTACTCCTGCTATAGCCATAAAACACGACAACATTAAAGAATCCCAAAAAACTTTAGTCCAAAGCTGTTGTGGAACTACTGAATTAATGAAAAATATGGTTCAATTGTTAAAATCAACACCTGCCGATAACAGTTTTGTCCAAAGGACCTAATGTTCCATCTAAAATTCAACGCTATAATGTGTTACATTGCTATTTCCCACATGGAAAGAAATGTACAAACACAGCAGAGGTGTTTCAGCTTTGCAAGTTAGAGGCTTCTTCTCTGACTCGCAGAGCTCGGCATAAGGTTATAGCACTTGAATGTTTTTGTTTTTGCACTGCAGCAAAGATGCTGAAAATAGAACACATTCAGAACACAATGTTTTTTTTTTTGCTTTTTTTTTTTTTTTTTTTGCACCGCCAGGAAGCGTGCACGTACATGTTGAAGCGCTACGACTGGTGGTTGGACCCTCCATCACAGGACACGGAGTACAAATGGCTGCCCGTGTCTCGCCCCGCCAAACCCCCCACTCTGTCCTTCACCCATCTGCGTCAGACGTCAGCTGACAGCAGGAACCCCGGGGACGCACGGGGTGTTTAATGATCTACCTGCTGAATGGTAAAAAAAAAATTCTCAAATGCATTCATTAGTCAAATGCACATGTCTGAAAATGTTCAGAGAGAGCTGGAGAATTTCTGAAGCCACGAATAGGGGGAAACCAGCAAAGTGTGAGGCTTTCCCCCCGCTGTCTCTAACTCTGTAATCATCCCGGGGAAAGCCACGGAGGGCGCTGCCTTCACTCTGTCAGATATTCTGCAGCTTTTTCTTGATTTCCCCGCAAAGGAGGGCAACGATGTGAGTCATTCTTCCGATGTTGAATCGGACTTTTCTTAATGAGTAGCGCGATTCAGAAAATAAATGACCTCTACACAAACATCCATACATATATGTGTGTGTATATATCGATATCAATATCTATTTTCTATAGTGTAAACTTTCATTTATGAGTATGATAAATAGGACTTCTGTTGTGATAAACACTCACACCCCCCTTTTGTAGGATGGTGTATCTCAAAATAGAAACTCACTGCAGTATCAGTATTCATACAGAGGAGCACGCGTCACGTGCACACGTGATAACATAGGTAAACCCTCAGATTCCATCACTTACTGCAAACCCCCCCACTGCCACCACCACCACCTAGCAACCACCACTGCTTAGCAACAGTTCGTCATACCAACACTGACTTGCTTGCTTTTAGTATTCAAGTCTCACACACATATATACACACACACTCTAACCTGTTTTTTTTTTAAGCATTCAGTCTGCACACCGTCTAAATCTCATGTAAACGATGCCAGTGGGCCTTTAAGAAGGCATTGCTGAATTGTTAGTGATCTGAATGGTTTAAATTATGAATGTGACTTATCCTGTGTCTGCTGCAATTGTAATCCGTCACTTTGAATGACATGTTTATGAATGTGCACTTGAGGAGCACATGCTCTGTATTACATCTCATGGATGTGATTTTTTCCCTTTTTATTTTGGTTTTAGTTCTGCTATCACTTATGTGAAGTAACTGTCAAATGTGCTGTGTGCTGTCTATAGGTTTTATTTATGTCTCCCTTCAGTCACTTGTGTGACTGAAGAGCTGTTTTAAAAAAAAAAAAGTAAAGGTTTGGACACATATTAGCTTCTCGTGTCTTTTCTTGTCAGATAATATTATTATCACAGAAAATAAAAACGAGGGGCGTGTTTAACCTCTAAACGATGTGCTCGTGACTATTTTGCTCCCATCTTGTGCCCATACTCTGACCTAAAACAGCACAGGACATACAGTTTAAGGTGATATCTGCACAAGCAATGAGATATTAACACTCCCCTGCAACAGCAAATAACATTAGTGGTTGGAAATTTTAAAAATTATCTTTATCCTTCAATCTGAGATATATAGCAGAATGGATGTTATTGCTGGAGACATCTTAGAGACAAAAAAGGAAAAGATAATTTTAAATGTTGAGTCTTCTTCTCTGTAGCTCCTGTGATATCACCCTGCCTCACCTTTTACCACATTTGGTGGCTGCAGGAGGTGTTTTATTTAGCGTAATTATTTATTTATTGCCAGCCTCTAAAGCACGACAGCAAAGTTGCATGAGCATCACATCACACATCTGTCGGGGGGGGGGGGGATAAAATATCTTTAGTTGTACATTTTGTGATTGAATATTTTTTCCTCGAAATCTTTGCTGAGATAAACTTACATCACATGGTTCGAAAGAACTGGTCAGCTTCATCACTTTGGGGTCATTGATTAAACAAAAAAAATCCAGACTAGGCCCCAGAGTAGGGCACTGCTCATCGGAATGCCTGAAAATATTAAGCGAACTATTGATGGCTAGGTTTCATATTGCTATTTGATATTTAAAAAAAGTGGCCTGTGGGAGTGAGTGGCTCGGGGCCAAAATGATGCTGAACAAGGTGCATCAAAACAAACCCCGCCCCCGGCGCCCTACAAGCTGTGTCTGGCCTCACAGCAGCGTCTGTGACTCGCTGGACTGCGTCACTTCTTGGCAATGGTTTCTATTCAAACACCGTCACTCCGGGAAAACCAAACAACAGAGAGAGACAAAAAAGCCTTTTTTGAATTATGCCAACTCTATGCTAATACATCCTGGCCTCCATCTCAAAGCGTTTCTTCTCTTCATCCTGTCATGATGCTAAAGGAAGAAAAGCACCCCAATGCAAGACTTTCAGGCCAAAGAAAGAACGACTTCATTGACTTGATAAATGTTGCCGAAAAGGGATTGATAACAAAAATAAAACTCCACTGATCGCACCGAGTGGAGCAAGCAGAAACAACGATGTCACGCTGGAGAAGGTAAAACCTGCACAATTTATACCGAAGGAGTCAATTCTAAATGAGAAGCAGCTGAAAGTCAGGAACTGAGATTCCATAGAAGCAACATTATGTTTTCAAATTATTTGTGAAATGGCAGAGGAAAAATGCTCATACGAACAACTCTACAACTCACAAACCTCTCAAGGACTCCTTTAAGAATTACCATCATTTAGTTAAGTATCCAGGTTGCAGATGTCCACTGACAAGTTTAAAGAGCCGAAAGTCAAAAAGTGAAGGGATTATATGGCAAACTCTTCCAGTGAAAGAATGACCTAAAGGATGTTTCCAAAACAAAATATCAAACACAAATAATCTCATTAGGACTCCGCCAAAACCAGCCATTTGTCTCGGCACGTGATACTATTCCCTATTGGTGCCGATGGAACACACGGATTGCATAACTGTCAGCACAACAACGGTATGTTTAAGCCTTCAATCTCATTAAATGCACACAAATGATAAACAAACAGAGACACTAAATGTTGCACACGTCAAAAGTAAAAAAAAAAACTCTTCATCTCATTCAGGTTTGTTGGAGCTTGTCCAGCTACAAATTCCCCTTTCTTCATATGAAAAACTCCATTTGTATTCATAGTTAGCTAGTAACTTGTTTAAACTCACAAATAAGATTACATATTCTAACGGTTGTTGTAGTGAAGAGAGATTCAATGAGATGACTATTTTGCTCCTGTCAGACATTTTAGACAAACACCTGCCAGAGTGACATAACCATTTGTTAAGTTTCTGTATTGATAAGGAAATGAGAGAGACGTTGAAAACCAAAAAACAAGAAATGATATGCCGAATGAGCTTTCGGTGGCACGGAAATAACCTAATGAATCACTTCCGATGTGCCGAAGACCTTGATGATGTGACTCACAAGTTGTTTCTGTCTGAGTCGAGTGGCCAGCGTCTTCTCATATCTCAGATACTCCTCCGGATGGACGTAACTGCTGAGGAGGAGCTCTCACCCCTTTCCTCTTATGAATTACCACCACGGTGACTGTTCTTGGTAATTCTCCCTCTATTGAGTAACAGCCACTAGGTGGTTTATTCCACCACCTTCTGATGACACAGTTCAAGCTGGTATATTCCCTTTAAACCAGTTTACAGGCAGACATCTTTGACTTTTCAAAAGATGGCCTTGGATTTGTTTAGTTAACGGGTGAAAACGTGGGCTCTGATTGAGCTGCATCTTCTCACAAGTTTACAGCCGATGCATTCCGTGGGTCCCTGTGGCCACGGACCATAATGCATTAGTGTCTTTGAAAGATTTTCCTGTCCTGCAGAAGAACAAACCCACTGTTCTCTCTGGTACAATGCTCCCCTCACAATGGCATCACACCGTCCTACATACATGCTGCGGCCACACATGTCTCGCAGTCGCTTGTCGGTTGTCGCTGTTTCTCAGTTTCTCGCACGCACAGGCTTGAAGACATACATCACACAGGATCTGATAGAAAAGGAGGTTTTTGCACGCCGGCTGCTATGACTCACTGCACTTGTCCGTTAGCTGATGCTCCTCATCCCAACAGATTGCGACAGGCAAAAGTGACTCAGGGGGAGACTTCTTATGCAAAAGTACATGTGGCTCAGATTTGATTTGTTTTGTTTTTTTCATATAAGCTTCTTGTCATATAACTTGTTTTGTGTTTAATAGAAGAAGGACGTATTCACGGACTTAACGTTAGTTTAGCTACGCAAATCAGACATATTACTTGTTGATTTCCAATAAATGATGTAAGATCAAGCTTATTCTTATCTTTCTTTTAAAACACATTGATATTTTATTTGAGGCAAAAACAAAAGGAGGGGGTAGAAAGAATTCCACATAGAGTCAAGCAATCACATCCAGACCCTTTTTGGGTTGATTTGCACTTGTAGTGCATTCCACTCCTTGTGGTCCACCTCTGCCTGTATTTGAAAAGAATGTATGAATCAAATGCCTGTGTGTTCTCAAACAGTGGCTTTCTGATTGTAAATGTGAAATGAATTTGAAGAATGCATCAAGCAAAAGAGGAATATGTAGATACTGGCAGCTCATACAGAAGCTGCTGTATTCATTATGCAGGTAGGATCTTGCAACAAAATGCAGAGTGTTTGTCAAACACACAACTAGGGAGTGGGTGGCTGTAAAGGAAAGAATCATGAAGCAAAGTGACATTCCACAGTTTGCTGGGTTTAAACTAAGGATATATTGTTCCCCGAGGAGAGAGAGAAAGGGAGAGATGCAAATGGAGCTGCTGCATAAAAGGACGGATCGATCCACAACAACAGAAAGGCAACTTATTCTAAATAGTACATTTGTGGCCATTTTCTGACTGGCCCTTCTGAGAAAAGAGCGAACCGTGCCAGCAGCTCACACGCAGGAGGACAGTGTATCCAGATGGCAGAACAAAGCCTTAGGTCAGCTTTAATGAGCAAAGCTAATTACCACATGACTGTTCTTTCTGTCCACTCGCAGCAGACCGTTGGCCTTTAATCGTGTACACAACAGGAAGTAAAGGAAGCAAACCCAGCCCCCCACGACTGCAATGCACACACGCTGGAACATCCCAACCAAAAAATAAACAAAGCAGTCACACATACAGCTCATTTTGAGCAAGATAACTATTAAAGTAGTAGTTATATAAAAGTTTTTAAAAAAGGTGTGCACCAGAGAAATTAGCATACAAGGGTCATCTTACTTTTTTGCTGTCCAAGAACTGTGATATATATAATAAGTAAATAGTCTCCAATTTCCAAAAACTCCATAAAATCCACTCCATAAAATCCATAAAGAAACAAGTGTTTCACCAGTCAGATGTGTATAGTAAAACAGAGGCTTCACCCCACAAAATTGGACTTGAGAACTTTATTTTCTCAAAAGCCACCTGGCTGACTCTTAGACCATGAAAAACAAAATCTTCTGACCTCTGATCAGGTCGCTGCACCCTCCAGAACTTGTGGAGGAAGCCAGGTAGCGTTAGTACTTTTTGGGGTGAAGGAACAGATAGATGGAGGAAAATAGAAAGCAATTTCGATCAAGCCCGTTTTGGGGTTCCTAACGTGAGCGGGTATGTCCCTGAATCTGCCCCGGGAAATGAGTCATATTGCAAAGAAATGTGGGCCAGGCTTGAAGGGTCCCTGCTAAGACCTGAATTTTAAGATACATTGTTATCAAACTGTGTAGAATTCTGGTCACATACCAGAACCCTGCTGGAATAATAACTGTAATAGGGTTGATATATAACAAAATGTCTTAAATACACTTCTATTTCAAATAATGTATGGATTTTTGAGTTCTAATAATACACGGATCTTGTACTGGAGTATAATATGATGATAAGGAGAGTTAATTTGGTCCATTATTACAGCTTTGCTGCTCATTTTCAGTCTCAGTGTTGAATAACTAGGCGGGCAGTGTATGATGGGTTTATCATTCGACTAACACAATACCCATTATTCATCATAATGAAACACAAAAACCCAACTGCTGGGATATTTAACAAATTACCCTGCCTCATACATAAAGATTTCCCCACAAGAAGCTGGTAGTATTGTTGCTTTGATGACTTCGAGTAATTGTCTTTCTAACGAGTAAATTCCTGCAACCAACTTCAGAGGGACCAAATCACTGTTTCTTACTACGTTGTTTGTCTGTGCTCAGACAGGCAGGAAGGAGAGGCCATTAGTCACTGAGGTGCCATCGAGCCCTGTTTAATTGTCTCATTTATCTTCCCTCTGTTGCTGAACTCTGTGCTGCTGCTCAAATTCACCCTGGAGCCCTCAGGAGCACTCTGCCAAACTCAACTATACTATCATTTATAGCAACAAGTGGCCCCACGTCTCTCCATGTATGAGTAGGAACTAAGACGCGGTCAGCAGGTTGATATTTCTACTTTAACTGAAAATAAGCGTCTGGTTGCTAGTTATTTGGCTCCTGCCATTGTCACTGGAGGCAACAAATGGCGTGATCATGGATGCCACACATGGTTGTGCCCAGTGGGATGGTGCCGCATCACTGTTTTGTCGTTTTTCTTGAAATATCAGACTTCGTGAGGGTGTTTGTGTGAAAGGCTTAGTCTCTTCCAGAATGATACAATCTCAAGGCAAAACCTTAAAGAGAGAGCAACAGCCAAATAAATAAATGGATAAATCTATTCATTCAGGTTACAAGAATTCTTGATGTTGTGCATGGATTACTGGGTGATGTTTCATTAACAGAACTTTGAACGCACAAAGTACACACCACACAATGGTGGTCAGCATCACTTATATTTTCAAAGTATTGTTTTTCACTAGGGC